ACCAGTATACATGGTTCCGATGTGGGTTTATTTATCTGTGAAAATAGAAAAAAGGGTAATCTCACCTCACGAAAAAACCCGCAAACTCACACACACGCTGCTTGCATTAACTGCGCAGTGTTAGAAAAACTAGTGCTACATTGAGTGTGTTAGTTTTGTTTTAAAACATCAAGGTCTTTCTCAGATGACGTTATTCAAAGTTTAACTATGTCACAAACAACTTATTCGCAGTTACCTTCTTCGTTGTTTCCACGTGTGCTGGATTCACCACTGCCTCGCTGGTGGCCGCCATCTTTGTTGTATATGTTTTTCAGTTCCTGTGACCTCACTTCTGATGACGTCACGTCCTGCTAAACATTGTTTAATATTGTTTTATTCAGCACTTTGCTTACAGAATATAATCAAAACAGGAAAGTTGATTACAAAAATGTAGTTCAACCAATTATGGTGGGAAGCTTTCTAGAACAAAGTAGAACAAAACTAATAAAGAATAGGAGTAAGCTGCCAATAAATGCTGAAAATCAAGAGATAGATAAATCAAAACAAGTCAGAAATAAAAGAGAGAAACAATCATGTAAAAAAACTTTAAAGCAAAGACTGAGCTTAATATGTGTTTCCCACCAGGAATAGGTAAAGGCTTATTTCATTTTTTTCTATCTTGTCTTTTAAATGGTTTAGTCTTTCTATTTTCCTTTAACATATATTATATATATCATCGTTTTTAATTTGTTGAAATGCCAGAAATGCTACCCATACACAACTTTTTTTGCATTCATATTTATTTGATAGGGAGTCTGTTTTTAAATAGGGAAATAGTAGTTGACAACTCAATAGCAACTAAAGGTCAACTTACAAGCTTTTTCAGGAGATTGTATCCTTTTATGATGCAATATAGTAAGTGGGCTATAGCCTGCATATGCCTGATTTGTGCAATGTTACGTAGATGGAAGTAGGCGGTCCTTGAAATTGATTTTATGTGGGCGTTAAAGGATCAATCCTTCAAATATAACACCAAGATTCCTTACAGTCTCACTGGAGGCCAAATTAATGCCATCCATAGTTAGTATATGTTTAGATAATTTGTTTCGTAGATTCTTCGGGCCAAGTACAATAACTTAAAAAACAATAAAACAATAAAAAAGTTTAAGGTCATGCACGTTTTCAATATATGAGACATAATTTATTCATGTTTCTCGTTGAAACATGAATCACTCATGTAGAACTATTTTAATCTTGAGGGCTGTACGTTCTATAAGTCTCAATCATGTTAAGAAATAAGAAAAAAGTTATGTTTATCTCTGTAACTCCGCCCACTGAGCACATACGTCAGCAGCTTGCTCTGCAGCCGATTACTCAGCTTCTAATTATTATTTACAAATATTTTATTCACAAATTAATATGGTCGAACTCAAACCCGTACTTTAATAGTTTCGTATTTGAACCTGAACAATATGGAACTTTAATGGACAAGATCTAAAGTAGAAAAAAAATTGCAAAATATATTTATTTTTAAAAATGTGAAGCTTTTTCTTTTTTAAACAACGGGGGCGTTCTACCATCTTTTCTTCCCGCATCGGAGGAGTAAGCTGGTTCTGTTCCGAGAACATCTCTACAAGGTAAAAGTTATTTAAATGTATTTAATGTCATCAAATGTTCGTCATAGTTACAGGTTATCACAAGACGCATTGTTTGCAAAAAGCAGAGTTCACGTTTGCCATTACAACGAGCAACGTAAATACAGCTGTCAATTTGTAAACATTGTCATTCACTGGTGTTAGCTAGGATAAAGCCATGAAAATCATAAGGTGAGTTTATATTGATTGACTTGTGTTTAGCATGTTTTTACTGTGAGTATTTGTAGAGCGTAAGTCCGGCAGTTGCTTGATTTACAATATTTAAAACTATGAACCTTGCCCAAAGTTATGCACATTAAACCGAGCTCAGTGGGGAGGGGGGTATGGGGTCAGTTCAGTCTCAAAAATAAATAAAGGCACACAAAAGGATACACGAATGTAATTCCGGATTTATATATAAATGTCTCCGTCCACACACATATTTTTCAATGCACACACACAAACTTATCATTTTATAAATGTAAAAAAGTTTCACAAATATATTTCTGATCCACACACAAATAGTTACATCAAAAACACATTTGAGTGTTGTTACATTTATATAAAAAACGCTTTCTGTGTGTGAATCTCTCTGCATTTGTGTGTGGATCTCTCTGCATTTGTGTGTGAATCTCTGCATTTGTGTGTGGATTTTTGAGACTCCCCCTGACGCAGCTAGATTCACACACACACTTTTTTTAAGACACGAGGGTGTGCCTAATGCGTTTCCAACGTAGTGTAACATCTACGCGGTTTGCGGAGTCTGGGGGTGTGAAATTGTGTTTATTGAATGGCTCTGTACTGTACTTTAAAACATTAATATGTAGTTGTTACCTTCCACTCTACAAACTGCAGCGACTAAAAACCAGGGCTTGTCCTTTCTGATGTTGTCCTTGTAGTAAGCATTGGTTACATCATATAAAATAGTGTGTTTTTCCACTTCCATGAAAACCTTGTCGTCCATTGTGCGTATCGTAGTGGAGGTGTTGTGATGAAGGATTGGGGTCTGCTAAATTAGTATATGTGGGGGATGGGCCTGGCCCGGATGCTCACCTTTCCACTTCCTGCGAGGGGGGGCTGCCTGCCCGACCTTAAATTACGGCTGCGCCGCGGCAAAAATAGGATTCATCCTAATTTTAGAGAAGCGCTGCGCCGAGCCGCTTCTGGGACGCGTCGGAGCCGTAACGCGGCGCGTGTGGTGGAATAGCACCCATTGACTAGAGTGGCCGCGATCCTTACGACCGACGCGGCGCAGACGGGCCCGGTGGAAACTGGGGGTGAGACCAGGCTGAGCCGCCGAATCCCTCGGAACATCATAAAAGCCATTTTCAACGGTTATCTGGTGAAAGATTAACTAGGCTACTGGATGAAATAATATGACTGGTATAGGTGCAAACATGAAACACTTTTTGAAAAAATATTATGATAAAATATTTTTATATATTTATAATTCTGCAAATATTACGATAAACTCACAGCTATTTCGCGGCCCGGCAGTAACACCTCCGCACACTGCTCTTGCACTCCTAGTTCCTTTTCCTAGTGTTACATATATATAGATATATATATCTCAACAGTTTTTACACCTGCAGCTTTTTTTCTTTAATAAAAGAGTTTTGGTAGAATTATTTTTGGCTATTATCATTGTTACACTTTTACACTTGCCACTCCCTTGAACACAAGCAGTACATTCAATTATGGTTCTTTATTATTCATATAGTAAATCAAGCTCAATTCAGTTGCTAAAAAAACTGTATTTGACAATTAAATATTTAAAGTAGCCTTTGTTAAAGAAATTATTTTGTTCCCCAGATTGAAACAACACCGCTTTCCTTTTCACGATGAGGTTAAAAAAGGTTGATAGCTAATTATTATATTTTAAAGGGACACTGACCAATTATTGTATTCTATACTAAAAGGGGATTTTTGGAGAATTATTACATTAGAAATGTATAAATCATAACCATGTACTCCTGATGCAGCACCTGCCATTTCCTTAACAGTACACATGATATTATCCTGTCTTCTCACATGACAGCTTTCCAATTACAACCTTTTGTTTATCAACCTACAAATCTGAGGGACTCGTTTAGCGTCTCTTATTACCGCCAACACCTCACTGAAAAGTGAACTCTTACATTTCTCTTTTACAATTCCAATCCAGCAACTGCAATTGAGTTAAACAATTTTAATTTTAAGTTGCAAGTACAATAAATGTTGATCCTCATTATCTGGCTTCAATGAGGTTCTCAACGTATTGGACAGTCTCGAGATAAATGTCAACTCCAAAACAATCCGATTCTTGTAGTGGATCGATTGTGTCCTGCAGCAGCATCATTTCAGGATCTGAGAGAGGACTTTCCAGTGTAGGGACATTGATCCCAGGATGATGCTGATTTTAAAATCCACTCTCTTCCCACTGGATCTCTGGTATGAGAATACCCTGACAAAGACAAATTGTGTGTATATATATATATATATATATGAATAACCTTTCATTAACACATTAAACAAGCACTGTCATTATCACAAATTAATACAAAATAAGATAAAGAAAAGGTTATGCAATTTTCTATAATTACAAGTAATGATTGTGGAATATGTGAAGGTTATTATGGAAAAGACTTGACTTTACACATGTGGTGAAAAAGAACCCTAGTCTTGATTGCACCAAGCAAAGGCTTTTTGAATGCAAGGGTAGTGTGATTATAGTTATGTGTAGAGAATAAGAACCTAAATGTAAGGATGTTTGTTTTTTTATTGATTGAGGATCAACAAGAGATTGTGATAAGATTTTTTAACACATTTGGAATTAACCTCAGGATCAGGATCTGCCACAGGATGCAGGGCTTGGCCCACCTGCCACAACTGGTTTGGAGTCATGTTTTGCTCTGTCCTGATTGGATGGTTGGCCCATGCCTCAGTGAAGACATCAAGGTTGGCCTGGATGCGTGGCAGGAAAACATAGTGGCAGCAGAATATGTGCAGGATGCTGCTGATGTCAAGCAGGTGTTGTTACTCAAGAGTGCAAGGTGTTGTAGACGCCAGAGACGTTCAATTCTGTATTTGAAAAAAAAATTGTCATAAGTTGTAGTTACAGATGATTTGAACAAACTGTTAATTTTTCAAAGTTGAAACGTAATATTGTTATAATTTGGCAATAATCCATTGAATGACACAAGAGTCAGTGCACCATCATAAAGTACATTTTTGCTTGAAAATGTTCATGATCTGGGACTTTAAATTCCTTTTAAAATTTGAATTTTCTTCTGAAAGTTTGTTAAAGGGGATGTTAAGAATGAATAGTCTCAAAAGCTTCCAAAATTAGTTTTGACTCACCGTTGGTTGTGTACGCTTTTCCCTGCAATAAAACTGTTAATGTCAGTTCCACGAACTGAGAACATTAATTCTGCTACTCCAACATTTTCCCCTCCATGATCTCCTCTCACTCTGAAAAACAAATCAATTATATGCTTCAGGAAAATTACACAATTAAAATATATGTAGTATATAAAATATATGACACTACAGTATACTCCCAATAATGTAGTGCCATAAAAATTGAGGAGAGGCCCACAGTTTTAAACCCCTACTGTACACAATTGTGTTGTCATCTTTAACAATTATAGTTGTGTCAGCAAAGCTAATACATGTTTCCGAGCGCACTTTAGAGGCCTGGAAAGGTATGTGATGGCTATTGTTTTATCTTGTCGGTTCAAACATATGTTCAAAATATGCCTCTTTTAACTAAGAAACAATGTGCAGCTATTTGAGGGGAGCATCTACATACTATGGATAGGTCCACAATCACAGTAAAAATTACATTTGGAATGATATGAATACCTCAGTGGATACCCATGCTCGTTCACAGCTTCATTGAAGAAGACCAAGTGGGTGTCAGACCGGTTGTTGTCTGCTACCTTCAAGTACATAATCTACATATAAGTACATAATATAACACATTATCAACTTGATCAATTAGTATTCATTGCAACATAAATCAACTGACGAATGACATGAAACGGTAAGAAAACTAGACACCTCAGAATGATTTGATGTTATATCATGAAGCCTCTTGACATGAGAAATCAAGTCAAAGCTCAATAGAAAGGACTGAATCCTTACATGAATACAAAGTTAACATATGATGGGTGGAATAGGCACTATTCAGTCAGCAAAACAATTGAAATTACGACTTTGATAAATTAATTTCCAGTATACAAAGCCTGCTTCCCCTCACGAATGAAAAAGAGTAGGTTACTACCCCCTATTTGTACAGAAAATAATCTGAAGCCTAATACAACAAATAAAAAAACAGCACTCTTGTCTCATTTTGCAGTTGTTACTTTTTGACAGTATAAAGTCTTACCTTTCTTGAATAGCCATCTATTCCTCCAAAGATAACAAAGTTGTATCTAAGTTTAAACAAATAAGAAAGAAAAAAGTAACTCCCAAACACAATACATCCATAGAAGCATAGATCTCACATATAATATTTAAGTGGATGAAAGCAAAACCAAATTTGTTCATGCTACGTTATGCTATGTTTTGTCAATGGTCATTTTTAAATATTATTAAAAATAATAATATAATGAACACTTCACATACAGATAGCATGCAAACACACCTGATTAGCTTGTGATTGGTGTCGATGTGCACCATGTACTTAGGGCAGTGGTTCTCAAAGTGGGGGGCGCGCCCCCCCTGCGGGGCGCAGAGTCATGCCAGGGGGGGCGCGAGAGACATGGAGGAAAAATGGTTAGAAAAAAAAAAAAAAGATTTAAAAAAAAAAAGTCATAATTTGAAAAATTATTTATTAAAAAATAATATGATGCAGTACTATTACGTCTGGGTCTCTGTGTTTCATTAAAGCTCGGCTCTGTGTGTGGGGAACGAGCCATTTTGTGTGCGCGAGAGAGAGAGCGCACCGGTACCGGAGATCGTTGTTGTTAGCTTCTGGTGCTAGCAAGCTACGCTAACGGAGTTTTTTCAACAACAAGGTGGAGGAGAGTCCTCTCCTGTCAGACTGAGAGACTTAGTGAGCTAAAGGACTCTATCAGTGTTATCTCAGTGGGTCTCAAACGTTTTGGTCACCATTAATGTAAACAATTATTTCCAAGGCACACGTTTATATGATCATTATAGTTATACAAAAATACGAGAATAAATGAAAAACAGGTAGGAAATACTATATGACAGTAAAACAAGAATAAAGTTTAAAAAGGTGATTTGTAAAATATCCATTAAGAAAAAGTTAATCTGTTTACAGTTCTGTTTCATATGGGTGTTGAGAGATGCATCCATAGATCTCTTCATTTTGCTCTCAAAGTGCACCAGATTGATGCTTTTAACTTCAATATTTAAAAATAAATCTTCCCGGGGGAGCTTGCCCCCGGACCCCCCTATGTGAGGTCCACACACCACCTATAAAAATAGCACTTTACCCCTGCTTACACCTATATGCAGCCGTGAGCTGATTATCGAGCCTTCATTGTGACAGTCGCGGGTACACTGTGTATATGCGTGGGGAGTGTTGCAGTAGAAAATTCCACTGTAGCGACCGGTACATTAATGGGAAACCCTAAATGTTTGAGCACCCTCTATGAAACATCAAGCTACCCCACAGCACCCCCAAAATAAATCTCTGGCGTCGCCACTGAGCCTGACTATTTGTGTTGGGGGGGCCCGACTTTTTTTTTTGTCCAAAGGGGGGGCCTGACAGAAAAAGTTTGAGAACCACTGACTTAGGGTAAGGAACTGTGTATGTTCTCCTCACCACACATCCCATCCGGGTCATCGGTGCTTTTAATGTTTGTGATCAATACATCTAATTCATCGTCACTGCAGCCACTATATGAAGCTGATATAGATACATTATTTTCGGCCATCCGCCTAAATAGTGTTGCTCTAGACACACCCAGAAGTCTGGCAATGCAATGTGATGACAGTCCTAGTTCTATAAGATTTGTCAGAGTCTTGTTAACTGTGATGGTTATTCTCGCGTCCAGGAAAGAGAAGCTTAAAAAGGAGACTAAATGGAGTCTCTGAGATGTTTTCAAATTGGTACTTTAATTAATAAAAAAGGCGCGGTAAAGTCACAAACAGGATATTTGTCCAACAGAAATACAGCTGTGCATCCGGCCCTTGTTAGCAGAGAAAAGAGCCCGAACCGCTCAGGTGCTGCTGTTATATAGCTTCTGCAGGCTCCTCCCTGCGGGCCGGCCCTCCACATCTTAATGTCCGTTGTTACGTTTAAACAGAGGATTCAGGCATTGTACATTCAATATATACTTAAACACGCCTCTTCTCCTCATATTGTCTTTCATCACTTTTCCTTTAACACATTCTAAACGTTGTAGTTAATATTCTAAAAAATACAGAAAATACTTCACGGCTGGTTTGGTTTCTGGTCATTCCGGATGTTGTCACATCTTACCCACGTCTGTAAACAATAACTTTATTCAAATAAACTATACCTTCATTTAATATTCAGCAATAATAATACGTCTATAGTTGCAGTGTTAAAATCAGTAGGTTTCGGTGTGCATCACTGCATGTCATTTCGCTACTAAATTAACCTCTATAAGAAATGGTAAACTAGCCACATGCTAACCGGAGATGAAGGATTTTCAGAATAAAAGCTTAACTGGTTGTACACAATAATTTTCTGGTTTTTCAGTATAAAACAGCATTTAAACTGAAGGTACATTTAAGGTACATTATGCCATCAAAACATTGATTTTAATTTCTAACAGTCTCTACTGACAATGTAAATCGTGGACGCCCACGTCCAGAACCTCTTTGCAACTCCAGGGTTACAAATGTCTGTTCATTCTCTCTCTCCTGCTGGATGAGAGTATTAAGGTCTGCAAGTGCAGACAGAATGTTCTCTCCTACATCAACTATGTCGCCCAGAGCACTTAATAGAACACAATCCTGACGGCACGCAAACTCTAACCCTTCGATGTCTACAGGTGTCCTCTCCAGGATGTGTGTTAGTCGATCATGCAGTCGTTGAAAGATGTCAGCTTCAGTGATTCCTAGGGGATAAATGAAGAGATTAGAGATGACAAACATTGATCTGAAAATTATTGTTTGTTAGCTGCTCCATAAATGACAAGTTCTGCATTTTTTTTAAAGGCCATTTTATTCACCCACTAGCTAAGGCTTAGATTGTAGATGGCTAAAACCATTAGCCATCTCATATAGTCATTAAAGCAGTCAACAGCTGGGTTATATAGGAGTAAACAGCTGATTTCACTGGTGGTGGAACACTGGTGGGCAACAGAAGGGCAGCGCCAACAGCAATACTGTTTGAAAATGGTCGGTAAACAAGCTACTACAAGATTATCTCTATAATTATCTCCAATCTGGTGCCCACCGCTACTTTGCTACCACAGTATTTACTGTGATTAGAACGTTGATTTTGCCCACAAGTGTTCTGCGGGCCAACTAACGTTAGCTAAGTGACTTTATGATCCTACTCATCCTAGGTTGGCCATTAGCATTATTTAGCTTACTTGTTCGCACATGCTAGTATTAAATGCCACACATAATACATACATAGTAACAAAGCAACCATTCATAGCTTAAACATACTTAATCATGAACGGCAATATACTTCGACTTGAGGCGATAGACCCTGTCAAACAGTTATTTTCAATAACGTCAACTTCATTTAAAGATAATACTTGATAGCAGTACAACCAATTTAGCATACAGAAACTTTAGACAGACTTAACAGCGCTATCTAATGTTAGCTTATTAGCTACATCACAATTAAATAGGGATGCACGATAATTATCGGCCCGATAATTATCGGTCCGATATTAGGAATTATGACGTCATCCCGATAAACCCGATACCAGTATTAATAGCCCCGATAATATACAATATATTTTTGGGGTAAAAAAAAAGAAAAAAATACTGCGGTGTGGGTGGATTGGGATGAGGGGCACTTGTTTTTCACTCGGCTCCTCCCGTTTTGCCAGTACTGTGGTATTAGTGGTTTAGGAAGAGGGGAGTTTTTCACAAATCCAGCGCTCCCTAACTCGTGAAGCCAGGACAGTAAACAAACATGTCGTCGGTGGTATGGGCGTTGGAGCCATAGATATATATATAAACAGGGGTGCACATAACTTTTTTGCCCTGGTTCTCAAAGGAGCACCTGGAGATGTTGCTTGGTGCTCATCCTTAAAATTAAATAAACCGTAACTTTTGAGGGGGTCTTGACTTTATTTGCCAGACACACGGCACTGAACACACAGAGGTGCACACAGAACACACATGCAGAGGTGAACACAGAACACACATGCAGAGGTGAACACAGAACACACATGCAGAGGTGAACACAAGACAACATTAGTACGACCAGTAATCCTACAAGCTGTCATCACTACCCTCCTGACTGTTCTCCTTACTGTCAGACATGGTAGCTGATGATGTAGGCCTACTACTTTCTCTCTGGTTGAGTCTGCGATTAGCTGCTTGCATCCACAAGTCAACAGCTGGTTTTGGGTCGAAAGTCTCTGTTGTCATCTTAGACAAGTGGATGTAATCAAATAAGTATGTGAACATAACCAATAACCTACCATAGCCAATAACAAATGAATGTAACTTATTTTATTTGTGTTGTTCATTCATATCTTATTTTACCTTAACATTTATTTATTTATGCATTTTTATCTCTCCAGTTTTAAAGGATATTTTTGGTTACTGTCCTATTGGAATGATTTCAAACCTGTTTATCCCAATAATTATAAAGGAGTGCCTTGGAAATATGTGTTTACATTAATTGCGACCAAACCGTTTGAACTTGGACTAATGGCGCGTTTCCACTGCAGCGGGTAGCCCCGTTTAAGCGTCCTTAACCGTCCTCAAGCGGCCAGGCCGGTTTTTGGTGGCGTTTCCATATAGCCTAGTACCGGCCAGCGGGTACTTTTTCCCTCTTTTTCCGGCCCCATAAAATCGTGGTTCTATCAGGCCAGGGCCAGGGCTGAACTAGTGACGTCAACACTCTCGACTGCTGATTGGTCAGAGAGAATCGTCACAAGATTGCGCGCGAGTTCATCCCTAGCGTCGCATATATATCTAGAAGCAAGCTTGCAGCATTTTTATACACAGCATTTTGTAAACGGAGGAGCTACAAAAATGGCTACTTCTAAGAAAAGCACACCGTGGTCGACCGAGGAGGTGACGACGTTCCTACATCTCATTGGGGATGATCAAATCCAGCGGGAGCTCGACGGAACAACTCGAAATGTGAACAAAAACAAAGCCGATCGCCCCGCCTACACTGCGTTGCTACCCCAGGTCCTAAACTGTAATGGAAATGCGCCACGGCCTGGGCCGGCCAGCGAGGCAGCCCGAGGCCAGAGCGAGGACGCTTATGGCGCGTTTCCACTGCAGCGGGTAGCCCCGTTTAAGCGTCCTTAACCGTCCTCAAGCGGCCAGGCCGGTTTTTG